TAGGGCCGAATCCTCTTAGCAACCGAAACCCTAGGACCGAAACCAAGAAGCAACCGAAACCAAGACCTCTGAAACCGAAACCCATAGTTGAACCCTCCCAACCACCGAAGGACCGAACCCACTGAGGACCGAAACTGCTGAACCGAACCTCGCTTCTTCAAGCCCCGCCTTCGCACGTTCGGTTCTTTTCTTCCTTTCCTCTCGGTCTCTTCTCTACTTTTGGTTCTCATTCCCAACCAAACTTCGCTTTCGGTTCTAAACTTCTTAAGAACCGAACCTTCGCGACTTCAGCCAGAATTCCGAATTTTTGCCATTTTTGCCCGATTTTCAATATTTTTAGCATTTTAAGCCTGTTTTTCATCATTTTAAAGTGAGATTTTCACCCGAAACTTTATTTTAACATATTAAGACCCATATGTTTTAATTATTCACGTTTTTAAAGTAGATCTTATCCAAGATTTAGTGGTTGGAGTAATAAAGGTGGAGTGTTGACTTTCCTTTAGCTTATGACACAAGCAACCCCTCACACCCACTCCTTTACCAGCCACACTCCTCCCACCATGCCTAGGTCTTGTCAATGTACTTTTTCATCATTTCTAACCTTTTTCCCACATTATTAGAGCTGGAACATCACTCCACATTCCTCACTTCACTCATTTCTCTCATTTTACCAAAAGATCAAACACAACTTTCCCTCACTTTCTCTCTCTAAAAATTCGAGATTCAAGGTTGATCATCAAGCTTTCTTACACTCTTGTTAAGTATAATTCATCCTCCTTGTGATGATTACACTTCATTTTACTCAAATCATTCATTGCTTACACAAACTTCATCATTATTGTGTTAGATTCTTTAATCTTCAAAGTAATCCTTCAAGTGTTCTTGAGTTGAACACTTCTCTTCTGTGACAATCGTCAATCTTGAGTCAAGTCAAGTCATCAAGTCAAACCGGTCAACTCGATTAAACCTTGTGTATTAGGGTTTGTGTTATGTTCATACTGTATAACTTGCTATATTAATGGAAAAACATCACTTGGGAAAAGTCTTGTGTTAAAATTTCCTAGGCCTTAGTGCTAATCAATGAACTAAACTGATAAAAACCATGTTGCATACTCATCGGGAGTGTGTAGGATCCTTAATCATGACTTAACGGGGCTCAAGAACCTTGCATTGTGGGGCCAAACACTCACAATTGTCACACATGGAACCTCTCTCAATCGTTTTCACTCTATCTCTCACTATGTCAAATCTCTCCCAAATCTCTCCAAGTATGTGAAATCTCTCTCAAATATCTCTTTGTATGAGAAATCTCTCTCAAATATCTCTTTGTATGAGAAATCTCTCCAAGAATGTCAAATCTCTCCCAAATCTCTCCAAGTATGTGAAACCTCTCTCAAATATCTCCTTGTATGAGAAATCTCTCCAAGAATGTCAAATCTCTCCCAAATCTCTCCAAGTATGTGAAATCTCTCTCAAACATCTCTTTGTATGAGAAATCTCTCCAAGAATGTCAAATCTCTCCCAAATCTCTCCAAGTATGTGAAACCTCTCTCAAATATCTCCTTGTATGAGAAATGTCTCTAAGAATGTCAAATCTCTCCCAAATCTCTCCAAGTATGTGAAATCTCTCCCAAATCTCTCTCAAAAGTTTCTCATAACTTTTTAGAATCATTCGGGTCATTCCGACCCTTAACCGGGTCAAAAACGGCTTAAAACGGGGTAAAAACGAGAAAAATAGACCTTAGGAACCGAAACCCTTCTCAAGGAGTCGAAGCTCCTTAAGGCCGAGACCTAGGAACCGAAAGTAGCAAGGACTGAACCGAGCCTCTGTTGGCTGAACCCGGAAGACCGAACCCCTATAGCTGAGACCGAGTCTCGGTCTCTGTCGCTTCTCGCTCTCTGTCGCTTCTCCTCTCTGTTGCTTCTCGCTCTCTGTCGCTTTCTCCCCTCTCTGTCGCCTCTCTGCTTCTGTTCGCCTCCCACCTCTCTGCTCTCTCTTCTTTTCTCTCGGTCTCTGCTCTCTCTCTTCTCTTCTCTCGGTCTCTGTCTCCTTCTCTCCTCTGTCTCTTCGCGCCTCTCTGTTCACTCTTCCCCTCTCGGTTCCTGCTCTCTCTCTTCTCCCCTCTCGGTTTCTGCCCTCTCTCCTCTCGGTTTCAGCATCAGAAGGCCGAACCTCGGCCAGAATTCGGAATATTGTCACTTTTAGCCCCTTTTTGATATTTTTAACATTTTAAGCCCGTTTTTCGTGATTTTAAAGCGGGATTTTCTCCAGAAACTATATTTTAACATAATAAACCCTAAATATTCATAATTTAAACATATTTTAATGAAAATCATTATCTAAATAATAAAGATCTAATGGGGGTTTATTTAAGGTGGAGTGTTGACCTTGCTTTAACTTATGTCACGAGCAACCACCCCACACCCACTCTATGACCAGCCATACCTCCCCACCTTACCTAGGTCACTTCAATGTCCCTTACACTCAATTTACACTCATTCCCACATTTTTAGAGCTGGAACAAACATCCTCTCTCCTCATTTCTCTCATTTGCTCTCATTTCACTAAGTATCAAACACCACTTTTCTCTCAAACTTTTTCTACACCAATTTCGAGATTCAAGGCTGATTTTCAAGTGTTCTTCCACTCTTAGTAAGTATAATTCATCCTCCTTATGATTATTTCACTTCATTCTACTCAAATCATTGATTTCTTACACAAACTCCATAACTATGATGTTAGATTCTCGAAAATCTTCAAGGCATCTCCAAGTGTTCTTGAGTTAAACACTTCCATTCTTCAACAATCATCTACTGAAATCACTTAAGGTGAGTTCATACCCCTACATTTTCATGTATTCTCAAGTTTTCAGGGGGGGGGGGGGGGGGAATACAAGTTAAAACACCGAGAACATAACTAAATTTTTCTAACAGCCTTCATCAGAAAAGTTCAACTCCATTCACGGACTGTTTTGGGCATCTTAAACATTTTTGTTTTCAAAACTGTACAAAGTTCAAATAGTTCAAGATTTTAGCTTTAAAATGACTACTTGCACATCTCCATACGGTTTTTCTACAATTTATGGTGATTTTTACAAAACTACCTATCATTTCAAACAACAATCCGGACCAGTCTTTGATTATGGACTTTTTCACCCAAGTTGGAGGTCATTAAAAATAGTGATAAAAATTATGAGTAAACTAGACACATTTTGTGAACTCCCATAATTTACGGATCTAGTTTTCGACTTCGTATGATTTTTCTATGATTTTTCCAAAACAGTGCAGAATGGCTAAAGTTAGCCAACAGCATGTAAATATCATAACACTTTGTATTATGTTGAGCAAAGTGTATAATCATAAGTTCTAATTATTGAATATGTTTCTTTGTTAGTTTATCATCATGAACTGAAACTAATTCATTTATAATAAGTATTATTCATTCAGTTTAGAACACGTATATTAAACTATAAAAAGTATAGTTTAATAAATTCATAACACTAATACATTTTCATAAAAGAGTTCTTACATACTACAAACATTTTAGATAAACTATAATAGGAATAGTTTATGATATATTGCATAACACACACATACTAAAAGAGTACATTCATACAGAAAAGGTTTACACTCACACACATTATACGTAAACTTGTTACCCTAAATTGTGAGACATTCTCTCTTTCTGTACGTCCGAGTGCGGAATATAATTCCTGGTAGTTATAATCAGAGTCTCCTGGAAGGAGAACGTGATACTTGTATATAGATATATATTAGGTTTGACACCCCACACCTTGCTGCTAGCTACAGTGGGACCTGCAGGTCTACGGGTGACAAATGTCATTTCATTTTCGCGACGCCTGAGAAACGTCGTGGCAGGTTCACATAGTCATAGTATGATTATAGCGACTCACATAGGGAGATAACAATTCATAAAGTTTATGGGATTTCATAAAACCTAAGTAGGTTTTAGGTTGATTTAAATTCACTTTTTATATCAATTCAAACTCATGACATTTCTACTAAGTAAGAATGATTTCTTATACATTTTGGTCTTTGGTCATAAGGCTACATTATACGGATTTTAAGGAAAATATTGGATTTTTCTAAAACAAACGCGACATTTACATGAGAAAAGACTTCTATTAAGTTTTATAGCAAAAACTTATGAACTCACCAACCTTTGTGTTGACACTTTTCAAACAACTTGTATTCTCAGGAAATCACTAAACAGGTAATCAAGTGCTTTTAAGGATGGGACGTTAAGGCGTCAAACTTTTCATATTTTTTCCACATATTGTAATTGATTTTGAAACATGTAATTCATACAAGTGATGTAACTTTTTCAATTATATATATGTTGGTTGTGTTTGCTTAAATTACTATTGAAATTGTGGTTATGATACTATACATGAAGTCCTCCACCCCCGGATGTTTCCGCCATCCTTGGTTTGGGGGTGTGACATCTTCTCCAACATCCATCCACCAAAATCATTCAATGTGAGTTCATACCCCTAAATTTTCATATTTTCTTAAGTTTTAAGGGGGGAATACAAGTTAAATCACCAAGAACATCACTAAATGCTTCTAACAGCTTTTATCAAAAAAGTTAGACTCCATTCACGGACTGTTTTGGTAAACTTAAAACGTTTTAGTTTTCAAAACTGTACTAGGTGAAAATGGTTTATGTCTTTATCTTTAAAATGACTACTTGTACATCTTCATACGATTTTTCTACAATTTATAGTGATTTTTACAAAACTGTCTATCATTTCAAGAACCAATCCGGACCATTCTGTGTTTATGGATGTTTTCACCTAAGTTGGAGGTCACCAAAAATCATGGAAAATTTTGTGAACAAACTAGACTCATTTTCCAAACTCCCAGAATTTACGGATTCTGATTTGGATTTGTTATGAATTTTCTATAAATTTTCTAAGAACAGTAATAGAAACTATTACTAATAGAAAAATGCTAGCAATTTCATTTCACCTTGTAACATGTTGAGTAAGGTGTATATCTTTATGTGAATGTATGTTATTGCAAATAAATGACATTTTGGTCTCGGCATATAAACATGCATCAGTTAATAATGGTTTTTGATATATATATATATATATATATATATATATATATATATATA